GGGGGGGGGGGGGGGGGGGGGGGGCAGGAAGCAGGAGCCATCGTGGAACCTCACCTCTCTGGGGATGAAGGACGACCCCAGTGTCACCAGGGACCAGAAGGCAATGCCCCCGCACATGAGATACTTCCGATTGTACCTGTCACCCAGGTAGCCAAACACAGGTGCCAACACCATGTAACTGGAGATGAACACTGAGGGGAAGCAGAGAGTCACAGCCCAGCCCCAGTGCCCCTACCCCACCCCAGCTCAGGGAGGGCGAGGAGGGGCAGGAATAACTCCCAACCCTGAAACTGTCAGAGCTTCCTGCCAGGGCCAGTCCAACCCCATTTTCAGTGTCTTTCAAACCTGCCACTGTAGAATGGATGGACCAGCTGACTCGTCACTTTCCCCATCCAGCCAAGAACAAAATCCAAACTCCATACCACGGCCCACAGTGCACTGTCTGATCTAACCGCCCCCTCCCTCTCCAGCCTCATGCTCATCCTTTCCTTTCTCTGCACCCCAATGACCCAATGGCCAACCTCAACACCATCTTAGGTTTTTGGCAACTGCTGTCATTTCTCTGTAGAACATTCTCTCCTCTCCCCTGAGCTTCACAGAGCTTAGCAAGTTTAGGTTCCAGCTCAGACACTTTTCCAACCACCACACGTGCAGTCTTTACCACATCTACTGTGTTCTTTTCCGTAACACTTACTCCTATAGAAAATTATCTCAGTATCAGTTTAGGTTTTTATGGACTGTTGCCCCCTCGGGCACAGTAGAATGTCAGCTCCATGAACACAGTCACTGCCTGTATCGGCCCTGGCCGTGTTTCCATTATTGAACACATGGCCTCGCATAAGACAGGCGCTCAATAAACAGGTGTTGGACGAAAAAGTGAATGGGGCTGCCTTCTTCTCCAACTCAGCAACTCTTCGGAGGTTCGCAGGCCATGACCTATGATCCCATTCTCATTTCTCTGGGCCTTGCCTTCAATACTTCCAGCTCCTTATTGGCCTGGCCTGGAGCAAAGACCATTGCAAGACCTGGATTCAAACTCCCCTTCTGCCTCTCACTTGCTCTGGGGCCCTGGGCAGGTCTTAACTGTTCTCCAAGCCTCAGATTCTCTACAGAAATGTAGATAATGCTAACCACTTCCTCTGTCAAATAAGAATAACACCTATTCCTGGGCTGATGGAAGGATGTGAAGACAATGGGCATAAAAGATCTTGGACAAGTTCTGTGGGTGTCATCACCACTTCCTCCGTAGGAGGTGCTCAGGAAATCAATGAAGGCGGGAAGGAAGGAAAAGAGGGGTGGGCCCTGTCTTTCCCTCTCTCACAAATCCCAAAGTTCTGAGCAAATAAAATCACCTCTCCCCACTTCAGACACCCTCTTCTGCCATTGCTTACTGGGTGCCTGCCATGTTCTCAGCTGTGGCCTCCACTTCCCAGGCATCATCTCATTTAAGCCTCCCTATGAGGTGGTCGGGTTATTCCTAGTTCCATCTCACCCACCAGGAAAGAGCGAGGCCGAGGGCCCTGCCTACCATCACACTGTGAGCAAACCCAGGTGTGTCTGACCCATCACAGCGAGGCCGAGGGCCCTGCCTACCATCACACTGTGAGCAGAACGCTGACATTTAAACCCAGGTGTGTCTGACCCATCACACTGAGCTGACTCCCTCTTTCAATGAGGTGCTAACTAACCAATACAGCTTCAGGGCAGCATCGGGCCATCTCTTCCCCTAGCGGGGGCCCCTACGCCTCCATCCATGAGGCCCCACCGGGGTAGGAAACGGGAAAGTAGCTGCGGGGCGCCGGGAGGGGCCTTCCTCACCGGTCTGGATGAGGCCGGAGCTGCTGTCTCCGATGGCGAAGAACTGCTCGATGTCCGGAAGGACGCCTGGGAAGGAGACTCGGGATGGGATCCGCGAGGCAGCGCCACCCTCGGGACCCGCTCCCTCCCCCGGTCCGCCCAGAAGTCGGTACCGGCCACGGTGAAGCGGTCCATGTAGTTGAGGAGGTTGATGTAGCACAGCACGGCCACGATGAGAGCCGAATGGGCCGCAGACACGCCCGTGATGCGCTGCAGCTTCTCCCGGTCCGGGACCTCCGGATCCGCGGACTTCGGATTCGCCATGGACCCCGGTAACCCCGGGGTGCCGGGCACCGGCCCGTCGTCAGTGTCGTCCGCCTGGCTGAGGAAGGGCTCGTTCTCGGACCCAGCCATGGTCCCAGGGGCCGCGCCTGCCCGCGCTCTGGTCCCACCGACGATCCTACCTGCGAGGAGAGGAGGCTGGAGGAAGGAGGCCG